ATGGAGAGAAATTATTTTACAATAATCCTGTAAAAGGAGAGAGAGAATCTCTGTAGCTCAGCTGTTGGCCACACAGGGCTTGGCACCGATCTTGAAATCCATTGAATAACTGTGGAAAGTATATTGTTCCTAGATTTCCAGCTGTACCGGAAGGTAAGTGGTCAGTGCAAAACCTACCTGACCTCCTGCTGCTGCTGCAAGATTGATGCTGTCTGGATCAGGGGGAGGATGGCCCAATTCCGTAAAATAAATAGGCCCCTGCTGTGTCCAGCATGGAGGTGTCATCTCTCCTTGTAGGAGTGTGGTCCCCTGCAGCTCAGGGGACCACACTTGTGTTGCAGGACACTAATTTTTCCCAGTGGAAAGCTGCAGGACGATTTTTTTATTTAAGTGCTTTACCAGACATACCTCACATGCTTGTGGGCCTGTTTCTAATGCTGTCATTATCTAGAAAAATCTTTGCCTCGTGGTAGAGATCACATACTTGTTGATGGGGAGCAGGTTCTTTTCTATTTCTATTGGTGATTGTCAAATTCCAATTTTTCCAGACGGTGGGATGATCCTGAGAAAGTGAGATGTTTTTCCTCTGTGTAAAGACACAAATATATGCATAAACGTGCACAGAATTATTCAATTCACTAAAACCAGCTGTTGTAAACAAGACACCTAATATAGCAACTACTCAACAGTAAAAACATTGGTCTCCCCTGTTGTCTGAACTCCAGACTGTTGTCTGAACTCCTTCTCCATCTTCTCTGGCCTCTCACTCACTTTTTCAAGAGGACATTTGGGATTTTCACTGCCATCCCAAACCTGCTATTTAAGGAAGTTAAAAAGGACCCACCTGGGAGCATCAGCTCTTGTTTTCTGTTCTTTCATAGGTCCTACTGGTCACTCAGGCCTTGCTGGTGAACCACTCAGGTCTAGTTTTGCAAACATATAGTGAAGAAATCTTGATGTGACTCAGGGAGGTGGCACTTGAATGCCAGATGCCAGTGAGTGACAGAAGAGACCATGGTTTTTCTTTCTAACAGGAGCATAACAGTCAGTAGAAAAGACAATGCTGTTGACCCCAAGCTTCCTCCTTGAGTAAATTAGACCCCATGTCATCCTTGGATACACTTTGTTGTTCTTGGGTTTGTCTGCTTTAGAGGCTTAATTTAGATGCTCTCAGGCAGCTGTAGCTGAAGGCAGTAGGGGCTGGGAGCTTTATTCTAGGAGAAGGCAGTGAGTATTTAGCCCAAAGGTGTTGTACTGAGGCACAGCATGTACCCAGTAATGCTGGGTTTCCAGGGAAGGGAGAGCCTGGCTCCCCCACTGACTGCAGCACACTCCTATCAGTTATTTGCAGAACTAGGAAAAAGGCTTCACCATTGGAGGGTTGTGAAGAATGGACTGCAGAAGCAGGAGAGCTCTAAATGTGTTTTTGTTACTGGCATGAAAAAGGCTGTAATAGCAAGGAAATTAACTGATACTTGCCAAAGTGTAGTTCACCTTCAATGTAAGATTCACCTGTCAGAGAAAAGGAAGTCTTTATCCACCTCTATTTGAGGGACTGTTAAAAAATACCCAATCAAAACCCAGCTGCTTTCAAACAGGGTTTGAATTTGCTGTAATCATGTACAGAGTATCCCACTGTTCATGGATCTAGCACTAGCATTTGCAGCCTAGCACTGCTGTAAATTCAAGGTGTGATTGCATCAGCTAATATTATTCCTGCCGTTCTCTTTGGTTTGAAATATCACCCAACTCATTTGGGTTAGATATGAGGTGCAATTGCCTGGAAACCAGTGCACAACTCCAGAAGGGTGCCTTGCTCATTATATTCACCTTTTCTAATAAAATATCTATGCTGTTGCTATGTTGGATCATGTCATCAGGACACTGCAGAGGGGTGGGCTTTCATTTTCCCCTTCTGTGAACCCCTTGAGAGGTACCAAGGGCTTTCTAAGGAACTCAGGTCCTTATGGATTTTCTAAGCCATAGGAAACTCCAAGAAATAAAAGCTCTTCATGGTTTCTGCACTCTCCGGGCAGAGGTGCATCTCTCAGCAATTGCAGGAGGTGTGTTGTAAGGAAACATGGATGGACAGCCCTTCTGTGAGATTATTAACATATTGGTGGTAAATCTAGGACCCAGTGGGTACTGGGAACCCAGGGCCAGTGCAGAGTTGCAGAGAAAATGTCAGCTTCCTGATGACCCTCAGGAATTTTGCCTGCTTCTAGCTTGCCTTTCTGATAGTCTAACTCCCAATGAGTATTTCTTCTCTCTTTTCAAAGTTGAGCATGATTCTGTCCCAGCACCCTGGGCCTCCTGTGCTGCTGGAGGCAGGGAACAGTGTATACAGCCATCCTCACATGGCTGCCAAGGGAAGGATATGACTTGGTAGCAATAAAACCAGGGCTCTTCCTCAAAGCCTTCCTGCAGACTGAAAGAGGGGTAGGTATGAGCTGCTAGAGGGAACTAAAAATAGTCTCTTTTCTGAGTAGACCAGGGATCCTGGGAAGAAGAGGCCACATTCTTCATCAGCATGTAAGAGAGTAGGTTGGAGAATGGGAAGGAAGCACAGCTACTAACTAGAAGATAGCACTGGCATGAGAACAAGTAGACAAAAATAGGCTATGAAAAAATGTGGGCTGCAAATCAGAAACAAGTTTCCTTCTGTCAAAGTGGAGTTCTTGAATAACCTGCCAAAAAAATTCACAATGACTTAAGATGGACTGTGATAAATTAACAAGAGGGACTTTATGACTCACTGTTTGTCATTGCTGGGAAATTTGATGATGACTAGGAGATCCCTTCTAGCCCCACATTCCTGCTGGTATGATAACAGAGGAATCTGTGTAGGGTGCAATAAATGCTGAATCACTGAGTGCTTTATCTGGCTGCCTGGCAGGACAAAGTCCCTTGTACCCATCCTGTCTGCAAGAACTTCCAGGACAAAAAAAAAAAAACAAAAAAAAAAAACCACCCCCCCCCAAAAAAAAAAAAAAAAAAAAAAAAAACAAAACAAACAACAAAAAAAAAAAAAAAAACCTTACGTAAATGGTTGTGCTCTGCTCTGGCAGCACAAAGCATGCAGATACGAATGCCTGAGTTAGAAGAAAACCAGCTCAGCTTCAGGCACCTCTACACAGGGGAAAGGTGGTGGTGTGGGTGTGAAAACAAGGAACCCCACTGTAAACACTGAGAGGTCCACATTCCAAGGTGAATGTGCTCCAGCAGCTTCAATACACAATCTTCATGAGCAAAAGAAACTCTTGGAACCGTGTGGCAGTGTCCCATGCACTTGCTTAGCCAGGTGCGTGCAGGGATCGATCAGGTCCAAAGGGCATGACTGTATTATGTCGCAGAAAGTCCCTGCAGTTAACATCAACCACTAAGCCATCCACACTTCTCCTGCCATGGCAGGATCCACAACTCTTTCAATGGTATTTTTTCTCTGTCCCCATGGAGTTCCCCAAGCACTTTCTGCCTGAGCACAAGGCCAACAATCAGGATGCAGCTTACACAGACAGGTTTGGTGCCTCACAACTGGCTGCAAGCACAGACCCTGGGATAACAGTAGCAGCTGGAAATTCAGCAGTGCAGAGCTGGAGGCAGAGGCCAAGAAGACAGCCCTGATAAACTGGACAAGGTAAGACACAGGCCTGGTTTTTTTGGCTCAGGAGATCAATGCTGCTCAGAAGGAGTGTGCTTCTTCATATTCATGGCCATCAGACTCAAGAAGACTTTTATGGAGCTTCTTCCAGACCTGTGGAGGTCATATATAGATGTGGGTGCTCCCTCACCTCCTCAAAACCTGCAGCACAGGCTCCTTGGAGTCGTAGGGCCCCTGACTTCTGCTCCCCACTGTGCCACAAGAAAATTTCCACACAGATATGGCACCACTTGTGTCCAGGTATCAAAGATCAGAGCAAGAGGTTCCCAGAGATCCCAGCTGCTAATGCCAACATGAAGCAGGGGGGAAACTCCCACACCAATGGTGAGGACTCCTATGCTAGAGAGCCTGTCATAATCCCTCTCTGCCATAGCCAACACAGCTCTTTTCATCTTCTTTCCCTTTTATTTTCTTCTTTTTTTTTTTTTTACCAGACAGCTGAATCATAATCAATTTTTTTTTTTATTTCCTGAGCAGTAGCAAGCTGATGGGGTAACAGAGACAGACTGAGCCATGGCAGGTGGTTGTGGCACAAGAGCCTCAAGGCTTCCTTGCCTTCCTGCCTCTTGCCAAGGCTCACCAAGCAGGCATGGAGAGAGAGCTTATCCTGGCTCTGACATGACCCTTCTCCTAAACAGCCATCAGCAAGGAAAGGGCCCAAAACTGAACACAAGATCACTACCCTGGTCCTGCTGGGCACATTTTGTATGACACAAACCACAGTGCTCTTGGCCTTCTTAGTAGGTACATCCACAGGCTACACAGTTTTCAGGTGGTGGCTGCTGGTCACCACACAGAAAAGTAACGACCTCAAATTCCAGCAGTGAGTTTCCAAACAAACCCTAGGTTCAAAGTCCTCTGGAGGGTTTTTCTGCATTCATCAGTGGATTTAAAGTTAATTTTTATATCAGCCACTTCCAGGTGGATTCATGGTTGATCATTTCCTTTGACTGTGCTGCAGTACTTCCCAGAGCAAAGTGTTATACTAAACAAGTTTGGGGGTGGGGAGAGGTTTTGACCCATATTTAACAAGCTCTAGAGCGAGCTTGTCTCCCTCCCTTGTCCCAGCGTGGCGATGCCGTGGGATGCACTTGGTGCTTGCCGGCACAGCCGGCGTGGCAGCAGCAGCACCTGCTGCGAGCGCTGCAGAACTGCAGGCGAAGGGGACAGAGATCCCAAATCCCACTGCAGGGAGCCGCCGGGCTCCCGGGTTTGCCCTGCACACACAGGGAACCCTCCCAGTCAGTGCATGTCTCCCATGCCAGAGCCAGAGGTGCTCAGAAAAAACTGCAAGAGAACGGTTTCTATTAGGAAAAAAGTGACGATAAGAAAAAAAAAAATGATTACACTCTGGTGTATTTCCATTTTAAAAGCAAAGAGGAGCTATGGGAATATTGTTCCTCGTAAGATTACTGACTTTGGTGATTTGCCCTACGTGAAAGCTTAGAAAACTGCAGAGGCAATGGGAGAAAAAGAGGTGACACTAGTGAAGGGAGAGAGAAGTGAGGGATTTCACCATCACAAAGGGTAATGGAGAGGGCAGTGCTAACATGCTTTGTTCAAAACCAGGTCTGGGATTCCTCTGACACCTGCTTTTTTTAATCAAGCCTTTCTCCAGAAGGTTTATATTGCACTGGGCATCAGGTCTCAGCATCCTGAACTCCTGTGGAGACAACAATAAGCTCAAATGCCATGATAAATATCCCAAAAAGGCACACACACTGGATTTACTGTTCTTGGTGTTTCTAAAATAAAAATTAAACAGAGCATATTAATTTAAACAAACCTTATTCCAGACTATATCACCCATACAAAGACAGAAAGACACAAGACTCAGAAATCCTCCTTTACAATGGCTAGCTTGTCTTTCCCTTCAGCTCTGACCTGAGTCTCACCTACAATGATGCACCTGAAGAACACAAAATGCAAAGACACCTCCACAGACATCACCTTTGAACTCCATTTTCTCATTCAGATGCTACAAGAAAACCCAGCAAAACTCAAAAGTTTGCTGTGTACCCCCCATTCCAAAGTCCTTGTTTTGCCTGGAAGGAGCACACCCCAGGTGAGTGCCCGGCTGCAACTGCTTCTGGTATCCGTCTCCCATCCTCAGGTGGGGGTGATGCCAGTGGGATGCTCTGCTTGGGCAGCCTTGGGGGAAGGAGTCCTCTGTCGGTCCATATGGAGAGGTGTGCAAGAAGCAATGGTTGTTTCTGAGGCAGGATGCTGCTCCCTGCTAGTGTGAATCAAGCAGGTCTCACAGGCAAAGCTCTCTGAGGAGACGAAGTTTGGGCTCTCACAGACCCCCAGCCCTGGTTTCTCCACTGCTGGCACCAGGATGGACAGAACTGCTGGCTACCTGTGGGACACAGGCAGCTGCCCAGAGTAGCCAGGACAAGGCCACCGCCACCTCCCTGCGTGCTGCCAACCCCCTCTCAGCCAAACTCAGGCTGCAGTCACGGCTGACCAGCCTGGGGCTGACACTGCAAATCAGAACGGGGCAAATCCCCAAATTCCAGAACAAGGCACATTCCCCAGAGGGATGTGTGGCTTTAGCATTGCAGAAAACAAGCAGTGTTTTGGGGTGGGAGGGCACTTGCCTTTTGGGGCAGGGGTGCCCCCATTCACACAAACGTAGGTTTTAGATCGTCTTTGAAATTCACCACAGGCTGGGGTCTGCCGTGGTGCTCTGTCTGGTGCTCCTCACAGTCACTGGGCTCTGTGTCCGTGTCCGTGCTGCTGCTGTCCAGGGAGCCACGCGGGCTCTGGAAGCAAACCTCGCAGCAGGGTCGGTGGCAGCCGTGAAACATCTCGGAGCTGCTGCTGCTGGAGTCAGAGTCTGGGTAATAGTACAGCGAGCGCAGGGAGGGCTCAGCGGGGCCCCTCGGGGCGCCCTGCCGCCGCCGCTGCTCCTGCGGGATGCACGATGAAGCACCCTGCGACTCGGGCCATCCCAGCCACCCCTCTGGCCGCAGGCTGGCCTCCCTTGGCATGGCTGCAGGGGATGGTGCCGGGCGGTGAAGGAGCCCTCTGCCAGCCATGTCCCCTCCCGTTCCCAGGGAGTTGTGTGCTGACTCCCCACGGACCCAGCTGCCCACCTCCTTCACCCTGCAGCTGGCACGAGGGGATACGTGTCCAGGGAAGCGCGCGGAGGCAGGGGGCAATGGGATCCTCCGCTGATGCCTTACCAGGTAGGGGCTGAGGGGTGTGTGGATGCCTGGGTAGCCCTCCTGGCCCACCCGTGTTTCTCCCTGCTCGCCTGAGGTGCCCTGGTTGCCAAGTGGGGGTCTTGCAGATAAGGCTGGGCTGTGGTTTTTGCCATCCAGGCTTAACTCTTGCAAGATTTCCCACAGCTTCTCGCTGTTTACATAGCTGACTTTGGGGAACGACTCCCAGGCTACGCCAGCGGAGCTGTCTTGGCCTGGCAGCTGCTCTGGAGGCTGCCCCTGAACTGCAGGTGTTCCACACTCCTGGACATCTTTCAGGCCATGTTCAGTGTTGTCTCCTGCATTAAAAAGCAGCACCTGAGTGCAAACAGGCTCCTGAGTTGCATTTTTCTGGAGGGCCTGAGCATTGCTGCCAAGAGGTGATGTACCCGGCAAACAGGGGGGCTGCCACTCCTCCCTCTCCGGATCCGGGGGGCAGCAGTCCCCTGGTGCATCCCCAGGCTGCCCTGAGCTCCAAGTGCAGGGAGCTGCTGGCAGCACACAGGGGTCGCAGCCGCTCTCCGCAGACATCAGCCTCATCAGCTTCTCCTTGGCGCTGCTCACTTGCTCCTGCAGGCTTTCGATCACGGCGTTTTTCTGTGTCAAACAAATAAGCCTGTCAAGTGTGGGGCAGGTAGAGAGGAGGAAAACGCTGCCAAATTGGAAGCAGGCACTGCCAGAAAAAAAAAATCACCCCTCTCTGCATGGCAAGAGCCACACCAGCAGCATGTGTGACCTCAGCCTCCCCTGTAGCCCCCCAGACGTGTGTGTGGGAAGGGGCTCAGTGGGCAGGCAGCTCTTCAGGCTGGGGTGTTCCTGCCCATGCAGTGCAGACGACAGAGCAGGAGGCTGGGGGCTTTTCTGAGACAGAGCATCTCCCCTCTAAATTAATCATGTTTGACAAGGCTGTGGGAATCAGGCTCTCTTGTGATCCTCCCTACAGAATTTTTTTAAGACCTCCAAATTATGCCTAAATTGTGGTGCTTTGGAGTGTGACAAAACAAAGCAGCACTTCCCCTCAGGCAGGAAGAGGCTGGTGAAGGATCACCAGTGTGGACAGGGTGTAAAGAAGGGCTTCCCACCCTAAAAAAGCCTTCAGCCCACAAAAGGGAAGGGGAGAAGCTGGAGGAGGGGGGCCGGCAGAGCCCTGTACCTCGGTGAGCAGCTGCTTCATAGAGTTTTTCTCCCCTATGAGCTGGTAGAGCTGCTCCTCGCTGTACACTGAGCGGCAGCTCCTGCTCGGGCTGGTGAAATATTTTGCCATGTGGCTCATGGTTTGGCTTTCTTCTTCAAAGGCTTTCCACTGCTTGAGCTGGGGAGTAGAAGAGGGTGTTATCCGCAGAGCCCCAGCCGACACAGCGGGAGGCAGGCACAGCTCAAGCGCGAAGGAGACAAAGGGACGGAGAGGGGGAGACAAAGGCAGGGAGTGACAGGGAGCAGAGACAGCCAGCCAGAGATGGCTGGGCGAGGGGCTGCAGTGTCACTTGGAGCCTCCCACCCATCTGAGCCCTACCCTGTTCCTGGCTCCAGCTTTTAATGAAGAAGAGGGTCAGTGCCTGGCTGCACTGAGACCGCTGAGCACACTGTAAAAGCCCCCTCCCTCTTCTCCCCACTCCCTGACTCCATGACAAAGACAGTGTCATGCATGCCCCCTTATCCCTGAATTACTAGTGACAAGCTGAAAACCAGCAATGTTTAGCATCTGTTTTCTAATCTAGTGTCTGCTTGGAAGCCTTGTGCAGCTCAGCTCCAGCTGTTTATCGATCTCAGATGAGCTATAGAAAAGCAAGCCCATTAGGAAAACAAGGTAATGAATTAAAAGATCCAAGTTAAATAAAATGTTCAAGGGCCCCAGGCTCCCACAGAAAAATGGTACAGCCAGAGTGCAGGTACAGCTCATTGGCTTCTCCACCCTCAGTCCAAGAGACCTGGAGCTTGGCAGAACATGGCCAGCAGGCCTGGAGCTCACCAGGGGAGGGTTGGATCCTTGCTCCCAAGGGCTGCCCATCTAAGCCCCTGAGCTCTGCAGTTACACTGCCTCAACTGAGGCAGGTGGGGACCTCTGGAAATCATCCCAAGTGCCCTGCTCAAGCAACGCCAGAGGGAGCAGCCTGCTCATGACTGTGTCCAACTGGGCCTTGAGTATCTCCAAGGATGGGGACTCCACAACCTCTCTGGGCATTCTGCTCCAGTGCTTTACAACTTTCACCGAAAAAACTCCAGCCTTTTCCTCATGTTTAAATACAACTTCCTGTGTTTCAGTTTGTGCCCATTGTCCCCTGTCCTGTCAGTGGATACCACTGAGAAGAGCCTCACTCCCCCTTCCCTATTCCACCCCCATCGATATTTATATACATTGCTGAGATCCCCTGAGTCCTCCCTTGCACAGATGTGCTTTCCTCAGCTTCACCTCTTCCTCCCTTTCTCACCTCATGTCCTTGAGCCCAAACATCCCTCCAAACATTCAACTGAGTAAATAACTGTTTCCTTTCCCTCTAACAATGGGAGCATTATTCCCACTAATGTGGTGGCCAGGCACACCAGGCTGCTCCTGGAGGACACAGGAAGCAGAATTGCCTCACCACACCACAAAAGGCTTCCTTTAAACACCTCCACCTCCTCCTCCTCCTCGCTTGTGGCAAAGCCCAGCTTCCTTCTCCAAAAGTGCAGAGGAGGACAGGCTTCCCTGGGGACCACCAGCAGCAAAGAAGTCTCTGAGAGTGGCTGGGCCATCTGGATGGTCTGCGCCCAGCTCCTTCGCTGCCAGCAGCAGAAGCTCCTGGTGCAAGTGGGCATGTGAAGTATGAGAAAAGGACAGATCCCACCCCCTACATGGAGCAGCAGGAGGAGACCAGTGGCTGCCTTGCCTCATGTGCTGTCTGCATGGCTGTCACCTGTGGCACATTCCTGCAGGAGGGTTTCTGAGCAGCAGTGCTGCACTCCTTGGAGACTTTCCAGGACATAAAGTGGACAAGGAACAAGAAAGCTGGAGATGGACATTTTACAAGGAGACAGTGATAGGAAGGAGAATGCCTTTAAACTGAAAAGAGGGTAGGTTTAGATTAGATATAAGGAAGAAATTCTTCACTATGATAGTGGTGAGACCCTGGATCAGGTTTGCCCGGGGAAGTTGTGGATAGCCCAGTCCCTGGAAATGTTTAAGATAAGGCTGAATGGCACTCTGAGCAGCCTGGTCTGATGGAAACTTCCCAGCCTACAGCAGGGCTGTTGGAACTAGATGATCTTTAGGTCCCTTCCAATACAGACAATTCTATGATTCTTTGAGACTCAGAGAACTTGCTTGGGGAAGCAGAACCACCAAGGTGGAGTGGGGTGAGGCTTGGAGAATGAGCTGTGCAGGTGAGTCCAAACATTTTGGGAAAAAAAGCAGGAAAGAGATTGCATTGATGCCCACGGCTGCTGTTGTTTAACACCGAAAATGTGCCCATTTCCGGCCAAGTGACAGGACAGAGGTGGCAGCATACCTGTGGGACAAAGATGAAGCAGTTGATCGTGGTTGTACAAACAAAGATGCCTCCAGAGGTAAAACCAAACAGCAAATTGTGCCAAGAACAGAAAAAACGGTGAACTAAGCAGATGGTACCAGCAGCCAGAAAAACGAGGTTGACCCCGACGATGAGTGTCAGGGACTGGTTCACTGGTGAGGAGCTGACATTGTCGGTCAGACCGGCCAAGTAGGTCCCGTATAGCAGGAGGATACTCTGGAAACAGAAAAAAGAGGTTTCCAGAGTGTGGAAAATTACAACCTGATGGTGTCAACCCCCATGTCGCACCAAGCCCGGTGAGCTCAGATACACTCAGCGCAATCCTAATTAATGCTCTTTGATCTATAATGCAGACCTGGAGCGTGTGGTGGTGACGCTGCAACAAACGCCTGGCACGCTGCTGAAGGCCAGGAGTGGGGCTGGGGACACAGGGCAGGAGTGAGGGCGCTGGTGGGCATGGGGCGTCCCAGCCAAAGGGCATGAAAAGCTAAGAGTCAGAGGCCAGCAGGTGCTGCCACAGAGCAGGGAATGGCTGGAGAAATTATATAAGCCACCCATTGGGCAGGCTGGAGTAGGAGAAGCAAAGGCAGACAGACAGGAGGCAGGGGTCCTTGCAGGGATGAAGCAGTGGGTGCCATCAAGGAGCAACAGCACAACTCTGAAGGAGCAGGAAAGATATCCAGAAGGAATTCAAAGAAGAAGGCAAGGAGAAATGGAGGTTTAGACTGGAGGGAAGAGGATGTACTTGGTGCCTCTTTAAATAGCAATAATCCAGGAAACTACCAGGTGCAATTATTTTCCCTTCCTTTAGCTGTTTCCTGACTACAGCAGCAGGGAAGGGCACTACAGAAGTGCTCTGTACACAGAGGCTCTCCCTCCCCCCAAGTAGAGCCGTTGTTTCAGAGCAGGCTGTCTCACCACCCTCCTCCTCAAGATTCTCATGCACACATTTTGATAGTGTGCTCAGAATAAAACTACTCAGCTCCTTCCCTAGGTGACACTAGCAGGAAACACCAAATATTTTTTGCCTGCCTTCATAGAGTTGAGCATGGTCTGCCTTCAGGATCATTTGGAAATACCATCTAACAAAGTCCCAGCTCCTGCAAGGACCTGGAATACAGGGAATGTGACCTACAATATTCCTGTGCTACCCAGTAAGTGTCAGCCTTTACTAAGAGTCATTGTTATTTGGGCATCAGAAGTGCTTTGTGACACAAGATGCAGATGTTTTTTACACCCTTCTGAACCCCTCTGTGCTGTGGCCAGTTGATGACTGTGATGGCCACTGCCAGGGTTAAGGTCTGGAGGGACACAAGCAAGGGAGGTTCATGTCCAGATCTCTGGTGAGACTCCCAGCTTCAAAGCAGCACAAAGTCTCAGGGTGGGGTTGTAAGAGTGAAACCTGCCTTGCTGGGAACTGGACTGAAGCCTGACCCTGCTTTGTAGAATCTGCACTGGATCATAACTGTGTCCACCATGCGGCACCTCCAAACAGCCCAAAGGCAAGGCAACCCCTAATCCCTGAGCAGGAAAAAGCCAGCACCAAAGTCCCATTTAAATTATACAGTCTATCTGGGGCACAGACAACAGCACTGCCGTCTCCTAAACTAGGACTCTCAGTGGTTTGTTTGTTTGTTTGTTTTAAACTTGAGCAGAGGACTTTGCTCCTAATTCCAGGCATGTCCTTGGCAAGTCATTTCTCTTCATTGCTCTGTGCCAGAAAACCAGGATAATACACTGAGTGTCTTCCCAAAGGGCTGAGCACATTAATGTTGTGGATGCTAAGAAGTGCTATGTATGCAGAGATAAAGCCTACACTCACGTTAGTGTAAATCCAGACTAACTCCAGAGAAATCACCAAGGAAGTACTCCATGACCCCCAGTAAGCAGGAAGGAACAGGGCCAGATTCAATGCAACATTAAAAAGCTTACCTGGAACTGATAAATGGGGATGTTTTATTTCCAGAAGGATTTTTTTAAGGGCTGTAGGCAGAGACATTACCTCTCTAAACCAAACCTCTCTAACACAAGCTGCAGACAAAATCAGAGGTGGAGACACAGCACTGACAGCCCAGGTAATACCTATGTTCCCTAACACCAGAGGACTTCTAAGGACTTTGAAATTAAATGTAGAAGGACTTGGCTGGGTTGTGAGGTCCCTTTCTGATCTTTTTCCAATGATTCTGGGTAGATGGTCAGTGAGTATTACATTACAGTGAATCACAAAGGAAGTGCCTGTGCTGCACGCAGAGATTAAGCCATTCCCCCAAAAAGGCTGTGATCTCACAAGCTTCATCAACATCAACTTTCTGAAATGTGTCCAGCCTCTGCCATACCAGAGACACAATACCGCAGATAATTACAGTGATGACTATACTGACATAGTTACATCAGTATAACTAACACTGCTGGAAGAAGACTGGCCATGTGCAGAGATTCACCAGTGAAAGTATAAGAGGTATAATTAACCTGATAAGCATCCTGCAAAGGTGGGGACCAAGTACTTGTCATCAGCACCTCCTTGGTTTGAAATCACAGAACACAGGGATTGAGCCACGCTGGCAGTGGTCATTCACTGGAGTCTTTAGGCAAGGAGTGTGACATAAAGACCAGGAAGATGTTGAGTTTCAAGAAGTGAGATGAAGCTCAGGGGGTGCTAGGAGAGATGTAGAGAGATTGTATGTGCACAGTGTACATAAAGGGGATGGTGAAGCAAGGAGAAAGCAGCTAGGAGGGTCTTCACCCTTCCCAAGGTGGGAAGGGCTGTAAATAGGAGGGCTTACAAGACGAACAGGAGTAGCTGGGATCTGCAATGGGCATGTAGCTTGGGAGGGCACCGAAATGACAAATGCTGCGGAACAGTTTAGGCTGAAAGACAGGCAGGAGGTGAGATTCAATGCAAGAAGCAGTCAAGAGGTTACATACCTTAAAGCCTAAAATGAGAACGAGCCAAAGATCAGAATAGAGCGATGCACAGGACTGCACCCGGCTCACGGAGCACGTCATGCCTTTCTCTGTTGCCTACAAGGCAAGGCAAAGACAGAAGTGAAGGCTGCAGCCTGGCACAGACCAATGGGAAGGTGCATCTAAGCAGGTCTCCTCTGTAAATTTCTGAAAGGAGAGGTCAAAGCTGGTGGTGCCAGGGGCAGAGTCTTAAAGTGAGATGATTTTGGCCTTCTGCTGCCAACAGGCTGCTTAAACATTTCTCTAAAGCAGATTCCTTAGAGCCCTCCTGTGTCATGCAGGTGATCTGCACAGACCTGGAAATTTTGCAGTGGACTCTCACCTCTGTAATAGACCAGACATAAACCAAATCCAGAGTGCCCAGAGGGTTTTCTGCCTCGTTTTTCTTTCTGTTGTTTCTCAAAGACCACCTCCAAATGCCTGGCCACTCACTAACTCTGGCCACAGAGTTCAGATAGGACACAGCAAAACCCCACACCGCCCCTCCTCATCCTTTTACCCGCAGTGAGACGCTGAGGCTTCGGAAGCACTGGACTGGGTCAGAGAACACCCAGGTCAAGAGCAAGACAGTGTCTGCCAGCACCAATGCTGCTACCATTCCCAGCAACTGCAGGTCTTTGATAATCTGCAAACATGCAAGAAGTAAAAGTTACTATGGGGAAGGAGTGGACACCAATAACCCCCATCCCCCTCGCATCCCTTTCTGTTATTTCTTTCAAGTGACACATCTCTCCTACTACTTCTCCCAGAAAGGTGTCCAGCACCTACATTTGAGTTGGCCACAAGATCTCTGTTTTCAATTCCCAAATTCTTGGACACCTAATCAGGCTTGAGACCAGGCATAAACCCTGCCTGATGGTGTGGATAGCAGGTAAATGCTATGACAGAAAACAGTTCTTCCAAAACAAGATTATCATCCCTTATAACCATATCACCAGCAGAGATAAAAAGGCAGAGAAAAACACCTGGTAGGATCATAATTTTGCAAGTTGAACACAGATCCCAGTATGAAACAGGAGTCCTTGCTGATACCCAGTTCCCCTGCAAACCCTCTTGTCCCATCTTTCATCTGAAACCTACTTTTTTCACTGCTGGAAAGTGACCACTGAAAATTGTAAGTGCACTTTTTTGTGCACAAATTTTCCATTTCCCTCCCAGTTTCTGAATCCTCATCCTTAAGTGCTTCAGAGGAGAGCCCAGCACTCCCTTCCTGCCTTCAAGAGCAGATCGGATCCATCTGAGGATGGCCCTAGGTCAGATGCTTTTGAGGACACCTGGTTTATTTTCATCCCACAAAAACAATCAGCGCAGACCTGAACACAAACATTGGTGTGTAGCATAAGGAAGGCATGTGGCCAATGTAAAATGAGAACAAAATTGTTTGGTGATGAGGTTTGGACTCCACTGGGGAAGAGGCAGCCAGGCAGGGCACCCACTTGCCTGTAGTGTGGAAAAGCTCCTGCCTCATTGTGCAGGAATAAATGAAGGGCCCATGCCCAGCCAGGTGTGAAAGCAGACCTGTGATTGTGGCATCCATCCCTGTCACATGCCCGTTTCATCTGGTTTGGGACTTGCTGGTGTTTGCCCTCCATGGAAGGTCTGTCCTCCCCCTTCCCACCTCAGATGCTGGGTACTCACCACCCGCTTGTCGGGCACCCGCTGGGTGAACACCTTGTAGAGCCGCCAGCTCTTCCCCAGGACAGGCCCGAACACCAGGGAGGTCCCCACGCACAGCAGGCACAGCCTCACCTGCCAGGGGTCAGAGCGAGGGGGCTGAAAGGGCTCACAGGGACACCACACACCCTCCCAGCCTGGGGTGAAGTAAGGATGGCTGGGGACATGTCTACACTCTTCTGATTTCTGGAGGGTGATACCAGATACTAGAAAGCTGACCACAGGGTGAAATAAATTCAAAGGCAAGTAGGCATGCCTGCTGCCTACCTTTCTCTACCTACCTAGAGACTCATTGGAAGGGCAGGCAGGGAGAGACAGGCAGCTCGTGAGCAGCAAGAGCACAGAAAGTCCCAGCACCCAAAAATCACTTGCTGGCACCTCCATTAATTATCCTCAGCCCAGTGGCAAAAAAGGATGCAGGGTATGCACCTTCCCACTCTCCCACATGGGTGCATGCCTAGTCCTCAGTCTGGCAGGGTGGCTGCCTCAGGCCAGGACATGGGGGTTCATCACATAGGTGAGTGTTCTGATGAAGATCTGCAGCCAAAAAAGTCACCCACAGCCTCACAGCACCTGTGCTGTCAGGCAGTGGTGACTGTGTGGAGGATCCCATCTCCCTTTGTGTTCCCCTCTGCCTGCTGTACTTCTACAAGCCCAGCAGTCTGCCTGCCTGCAGGACTTGTCCCCCAGGGACCTGCCTCAAATCCCTTCCTCGGTGCAGATGTGGTTTGCAAAACAGTGAAGGCCGTTCAGACAGAAAGTGTCCGGCTGCCTTTTGCATATGTGGAATCCACAGCCCAGCTGAGCAACGTGGTGGTGACAGGCTGAGGCTGGGACAGAGCATGTACAGGTGACAGCTGGCTGGGAAAGAGCACATACAAACAGGCCAGTACATGCCTCAAGGTGCCCATCCCAGCAAAACCCCTGCTCACCTGAATAAGCTTTTCCATTGAGTCTCCAGATGGCAGGCTCTGCTCCTGAATCCCAAAGAGGTAAGCACTTGTGTAAGTCAAGCCACTGCCAAGCAGGGTCACAATGTTGAGATTGGGGCTGGACATCTTCACAATCCTCCAGGAAACAAAGCAGGGAATTTGATGACAGTTACTGAGCATCATGACCTGGCAGCACAGGGGTGAGGTCCCCTTACAGGGATGATGATGGTCACAAGGAATGCTGACACAATGTCCACCCCCAGCCCCCCCAGCCTGTGCTGCTCACCACTGCTCCAAAAGCTCAGCCATTACTCCATGGTCCCATCCTCTCCCCTTTCTTGCTGGAGTGTTTCACAATCCTTCAAGTATTCATTTAGCCCTATGCCAAAATTTCTGCTGCAGAGGGGCAGAGGTGGAAAACCACACCAACACCCACAGTGACTGTACCCAGCAGTAAGTTTTAGGTGCAAGAGCTACGTGTGCCTCCAGGAACGGGCTGATCCTTCCTCTGATCCTTCCTCACGCTCAGCACAGGAAGCCGCCAGCAATGTTCAGGTTACAGTCTCCCCTCTGTAATTTCACCTCATCACTCATAATCCTGTAACTGTATTCAGGGAGGGGAGAATCAACCCACTGATCTCTTATGACCTGTCACCCTTCCCCAGCAAGCCTATTGAGTGAAAGCTGGACCTCCTGCCATCCCCTCCAATAGTTCTGCCTCTTTGACCTCCTGACACATCATTACTTTTCTCTCTTCTTGAGTTCCTTCCTGGCTTGTTGTCTGCAGTCACAAAGCCTGGGGTTCAACTTGTCTCTTTCCCTCCCTGCCTTCCTCACCATGTCTCAGCCCTTGGAGAAAGATATTCACTAGCTCATGCTTCCAGCTTCAGCTGAGAAAGGTCTCCTCTGCCCTCCCAGGTTCAGGAGGCAGACCAGTATTTATTTACTGCAGAGCAAATAAATAACGCACATTCATTACAGCACATTCCGAGAACATAAATTCAAGTGGCCACTGAACTCAACACAACTCAGTAAATGAAAGTGCTTCAGACTGGGATGCAGTTGGGATGCAGGTCATGCAGCTGCTGCAGCACAGCAGGCATGGGGCTCTTAACAAAAAGCTTTATGGGCAGGACCCTCCCGACTGCACCGTGGTTGTCAGGAGCATTAAATTCCTTAAAGCCACCAGCGACGTCAAACATCAGTCCAGGCTGCACTCAGATGTACACCTCTGTGCAAAACAATGGCACATGGAGAGTGAAGGCTTTGCCAGGTGAAGCCTGGGAGAGGGATGTATCCCTGGAGGAGGAAACAGTTGAAATACCAAGGGACCAACAAGGCAGAGGAGAAGGTGGCAAAGAGGAAGCAGAGACATTCAGAATTGCTGAGGAAGGCTCAGCACTTGCTGAGACAGGTTGAGCTATGAGGAACTGCTGAGCCTTCTGCTGGATTTATGCTGCCTTCAGAGGAGCAGGACTTTTTATCTCCCCAGTGCAGACTGAACAGCACCAAAAAAAGTCTGCATGTCACCACCAGCTTCTCTCAGTAAAGGATATCATGTTCTCCACCAATACAATCAACTAGCAAGAACAAGAGGGGTTATCAATATCTTTAAACCAACAGCAAGAAGGACATGGCACATTGTGGGGAGTATGATGGCCTTGCTATGGAGCTGTGCTTGCTCAGAGCGATGCTTTCAAGCATGTGGAGCAGAATTGAGCTCTCTTTTTACCCACTCCTGTTGATGGTTTTATTGAACAGCACCTGGATGAGACCATGCAGCACTGTCTGTGCCAGAGGGCACCCATAGAGTCGTAGAATCATTAATGTTGGAAAAGACCTCTAAGACCATCAAGTGCAACCTTTGACCAAACACCACCATAAGAAGTAAACCATAGCACTAAGTGCCACATCCAGTCTTGAACATTTCCAGAGATCGTTATTCCTCCACTTCCCTGGGCAGCCTGTTCCAATGCTTGACAACCTTTTCAGTGAAAAAAATTATTGCTGGTCCCCAACTTGAAGCTCCCCTGATGCATTTCGTGAGGCATTTCCTTTCATCCTGTCTACAGCTCCCTACCTTGTGGGAGGAAAGGAGCAGTCCAAACAGGACTGTCTCCACCAGTGATCAAAACTCTGTGTAATGAAAGAAACTGCAACATCCCTGGCATTACCCTTGCTTGCCCTGTGCTGTTCCTTCAGGGTTACACCCTCCTGATCCTTAGCTCAGCTCAGAGCTTGGTCCTGAAGGAGCCTGACTCCGCTACTCCAGCTCAGGGGAAACCTCCCAGGAGAAAAGGGATGCTCTTACCTGTTTTTCCTGAAGCGAATAGTGAAGATGAAAAAGAAGAGTGCTAGCAGGACTCCTCCAGTCAGGAATGTCCACACAACTCCCAGGAGACCAGCAGAGAAGGATGGGGAGCTCTTCATACTGCGGTCAAACGAAGTCTGCAGGAAGCAAAAGGGATAAGGAAGAAGAGGACATTGCTGGGGCTCTCAGCAAAGAAGGTCCCTACTCCAGCATGATCCCTCCCACAGTTATCCTGCTCAGCCAGAAACAACAGCTCCCACTAAGAAGACACTCCACCACCAGACTAAGTCCTGCAGATAGGGCCACTGAGATGTGTGTGGACAGGATGTGTGCTCTGTCACTTGCTGAGTGCTCAGGAGGACACAGCAGTCCAAGAGCCCTCTTCTTATGGCCAACTAGCCAAATCCATAATGAAGCTGTACAAGTAATTCATAAATCTCAGGCAGTCCTTCCTCTGAGACACAGGAACATGGACACTGGTTCCCCACTCTCCTCTGGAAAGAAATCTTCGGAGAAAGGCCCCATGGTGCCCCAGTTGATATCATGCTTCTTTAGATGCTTCTTCGTTCCTACCCTTACCCCTCCCTGCAGCAGACAACTGATCAGCTGGCAGACGTGACTGGGAGCCAGCAGCAGAGCTGCCAGTTGGAGCAGGAGCTCAGGAGTGTGACAGTGATTTTCAGAGGCAGTGACACACTGAGCTGGAATCCACCCATCTCCCAGCTGGACAGAAACGAACTTGGTCCCAGGCAGGCATCAGCTGAGAACTGGCTTTTGAGGGACACTCCCAAAGTGGGTATGATGGAAGCACCTCTCTCCTTACAGACAAACCACCTCATGGTTTAAATCTCCATTTTAAATAGTCTCTGCTATCTCCTTATTAACATAAAATGGATAAAACAATCCCATGTGAAACAAGAAGCCTACTTCCGCTGCTGATCTAAAATGCTCCAGCATTTTTAACAGGATCTGCATGTGTGAGTTACCATCTTTTTTTTTTTTTTTTTAATTAAAAAAAGCATCACTTTAACAAAAGTGCTGGCACATCCCCTTTAAGGGAGGAAAAAGGAGAATGGGGCTTGAGCTGGGATCACACACCTCCTTGCTAACTTCTCTGGTGCTGAGTCCTTTCTCAGGTATTCCAGCATCCAATTTCTATTGTAGAAAACTACTTTTCCTGACAGTTGACACTGCCCCAAACTCCCAATTTTTACTTCAAGGTCTGAGCTGTTTCTGCTTCCAACCTTGCTAGAAATAAATCTTCAGGCAGAAGAAAGGCATTTGTTTAGAGCTAATGCCTCATGTCCCTCTTCCCCAGCCAGGCTTCATCTCCTCTGGGTGAGCAAGAACAATGCACAGCTTGCAGAATTAAAGCCACCACATAATTCTTGACACAAAAACGTGTCACTGCCACACGAGCACAGCTGATCTGCAGGCTCCTGGCAGCTCACATGCTGATGCCATGCTGGTCACAGGGCAAGTGGGAAAGGCAAACTCCTGCCTGGGAGAGACATCCAGCTGAGAGCTGCTGCTGCTGCTGCTGGGATACAGCTGCGTGCACATCTCAGCATCACTTTGCAGTAGCATGGAGGAATCCCTGGAGGGATACTCATCTCCCTCCTGAAAATGCTTCCCACCTCCTCTTGCTATTCCCTGGGGAGCCTTTCCCTCTCTGGGACATGAAGACCACACCAGATGGTGGAGGTGATCCAGTGCCAGGTCAGTGCCCTGCTTACACCGGGATTCTCTGTGTAAACACCCCATCATGCAGCACAGATCAGGCCCATCCTCCCCCCTGCCTGGAGCTGTCAGGGCTGGTACATGGCTGTAATGCCATTCTATTTCTGTGTCCTGCCTGCTCGAGCCCAAGGGTAACACCTGGCTTTTACCACTGAGGTGAGCAGGGCAAACTCAGCATTCTGGGGCTTCTGCACTTCACTTCCACCCACCAACAAAATCTTTTCACCTCTGTCTGCTTTCAAAAGTATTACTGCACCTTATTCTCAGCAACCACCCAGGGATCAGAAACACCCCTATGATCTCCACTTTTTCTCTCCCCCACACCCTCCCACCTTACTGCTGTTTCCCTGGATGTTGATGCTACTTGAAGTTGATGGAGCGCTTTACTGGCTGCTGAGCGGAGTAAATCCTGGTCCTGGCAGGGGGAATATTAATTGTAAGCCGGCTGCCAGAGCCAGAGGAGCCAAGCAGCTTACAGTCTTTTAATTAAAGGCCCATGGTCGTGCAGGACGTGATGGAGAGCCGAGTGGGCCAAGCCTCTCCACTCCATCCAGCAGCCCCACATGGTGCCAGCTGCAACTGAGTGCATCCAGTGTCATTTCTACCACCTTACTGGTGAAGGGGGGAAGGTACCATTTATTACAGATGATGATTTTTAATTAAATCCTACTCTACTCATATTTGAAAAGCACTTTGAAGTTATAGGGGACAGGAAAGGTCAAGGGGAGATGGGGCCATCACAGGCCAATCCTGAGCAGCTGGCTGACACATGGGAGGGCTGCTTGACATGACTTGGCTGATGTGGATGCTTTCCTCCCCTTCTGGATAATTGCTGGGAGTCACCTAGACTGGGCATGTCTTGTCTATCAGCCAGGTGAGTGTGCTGCCTTCAGCTGGACTGGGATTGCTTGGCAGCTGCAACCCCCTTTATCCCTCCCCCAAATCTACTTCTGCAGAGTAAACCTCATGTCCCAGAGCACACCCCTGTACCTATACACCCCACTGCATCCATACATACCACTGTCACAGTGCAGAGCTCCTGCAGGGCCCGCTGCTGCTGCTCCTGGCTGCCAAAACTGGAGCTGCCATCGCAGAGCTCAGAGCAGTTGAATCCCGGCTCCATAGCACATCCTCAGCCGTCATCCAGCCGTACCTTTGCCCTGCTGGAAGGATGAGTGTTGGCTTTCTCCAGCAAGAAGAAACCTTTGGCACACACCACATCCCCCCTGTCAGCAGGGAAGGGTCTGTGGACAGCCTGGGGCTGAGCTTACCCAAACTGATGTGATGCACATCCAGAGTCAGGACAGGGAGTGTCCCCTGACAGTGTCACTTGGGCGTCCTCTGCAGCAAGGAGAGTCAGCTCGGGACCCGGGCTCCCACAGAGCAGGGTGGCATCCCCAGCACTGCTACACCACCCTGCAAAACAACACCTGTGGAGGGTCACGATGGCTCCCAGACCCTATATCCCAGCTGGGGACTGAAATTAGGTGCTGTGCTGGGCCAAGAAGGAACATGGCATTCTGGCACCCTGAACCCACTGCATCTTTCCTTTGCCAATGCATTTTCCTGCACTGGAGCAATTTCAGGGTCATTTTGCGAGAACCCTCCTTGTGCTGGCAGTGACTGCTGGTTTCACGGAACATCCCTTTCTCCCAGCAGAGAACCAGCCAGTGAAGACAACAATGAACAGCAACCAGTGTTGCCATTGCTTACCAGGACCTACGTCCAGGCCTGGGTGAGCAAAGGGGAAGGTGCTTGAACACAGTGTTTTGGCTGACTTGGCTGAGATGCAGCCTGGCTACCTGAAGAGCTGGCTGTTTATTAAGGAGATTTAGAAGCCTGACACCTCCATGTTCCCCCTCCCTCCCTCCCGGTGCTCTGGCAGGCAGGTATTGTCCCTGCCTGCTCCTGCTCCCTTTGCACCACCTTTACCACTGTTCCCCCTTTCATTTCTCTTTTTGGTGTGGATTTTAATAAGCCTCATTACCATTTTAGACATGAGGTCATACTTATCCTCAAGCATCCTTACTCAATTACCATTGTCACCAGGTTTAATTAGCTTCCAGTGCACGACCATAAGCAAGTCTCCTTTGTTAGTAGCAGGGGAGGAGGTGCAATAGCTCACTCCCTATTTGCTCCTAACAACAGGTGGGAGGAAAAATTATCCCTGTCATGCTCCTCGGTGCTGCTCCCTGGCTGAGCATCCCCTGTACCTGGCCATTGCTCCAGCCTTCCCTGTTGCTGCTCCTGACACTGTTATGCCCTCTCCTTTCAAGTCCTTTCTTTGGAAAAACTCTTGTCATTATTTGAGCAAAGAAAGAGTAAATTAAAAAGACGCATGGTCACCAGGACCTCATCTGAAATTTGATGTTCATCATGGGGCATAATTGAGATTCATATGACAGAAAAGCTTCAGGTGTTGTTCTCAGCTCGAGTGTATGCTGATTTTTCAGCTTTAGAGTGGTTGCCTACCAGTCCTAGCCCAAGCACATCAAGCTAAGTGGGCTACTTGTCCAAAATTAGCAGGCCCATGTCTGAAGCAATAACCCCAGCTCTGCTGCTGGCAGAAATCTTTGTGTGCTTCAGGTCCAGGCACCATCCTGCCCCTGCCAGAACTTCCCCCAGTGTGAGATCAGCTCGCTGTGTCCTACGAACACAGTATCACACATCAGCCAGACAAGATTTTACACACATGCTGTGTAAAGATGTGTTTTTCAAGAGTGTTGAAGCCACCCAGCTCCATCAAGCCTCCTTCTCTCTAACTTGTAGAAATCTGTGGTGATGTTTCCCCTCTGCAGCAGGATCATCCTCTGGGAGTTTTCATGCCCTCCATAGCTCAGGCTGAGTGACTTGACAAGAGCCATGGCTGCAGGAGGTATGCAGCTGCTGCAGTGAATGCCAGGATTGCTAAAATGCTGGAAGTGCAGTGGAGAGGAGGAGACAGGCTCCAGCTGAACAATTCAGAGACCAATGGACAGTGCGGAAGCACTGGGTGGGGATGGGGTAGGAGAGGGACACTGAACCTTTGATGCTGAGGAGACCTGAAGGTGAGCACTGCCCAGCCTCCAAGGGGCTCAGCTCCTCTCCATGCCCCTGGTGGGTTTAAAGACAAAAGCCCCTATAACTCCTTGTAACCTTCTGCCATGTCAGAGGGGGAACACACCTGGCAGGAGGACCACTACCAAGGCTGGCATGAGGCCAGCAGGCACAGCCTTCGTGTGGCTCACAAATGGAGGCGTTACCCCAAGGAGCAGCAGCTGAGCCCTCATCCACCCAGGAGGCCACCCCTTGGAGGGCAGAAGCCCCGTGGGGGCTCCCCAGCCCCCACCCCTGCATTCTGCAAACAGCTCCCACACAAAGTTGATAACAAGCTGAGGCTAATTAGAGTTCATTAGTATGCAACAAAGCAAGCACCAGTGCAGTTGTTGCTGAAAGGCAACAGGCATTTCCAGCCCAGCTCCTGCCTCTTGTGAGAGTGGCAGGAATGCTTCTCCGTAGCCTGGAGAGGATCCAAGGGGGACCAGCACTTTGGGGGGTCACTGACCTTCAGGCTGAGGCTGGCCAATGGTTGTCAGGACAGACCAAAACACAGGTAAAACCCCACATCCTTAAAATGAAAGGGACTGTTGAGAACAGAGACTTGTGGGGTTTGGTTTTTTGTAAGTGTTTTTTAAACTTAAAATACCAACCAGATCTGATAGATCACTTCCAGAGCAGAATCACAGAATGGCTTGGGTTGGAAGGGACCCAAGAGTTCTGCTTGCCTTGCTCTGCCCTTGCTGCCCTTGGTCTCTGTGACCTTGCACCTGGTGGCTGTCTGGAACATGGTGGGGAGTATTTGGCCACAGAGGAGCATTGGTTTGCATGCAGACATGATCCAAAAAGCCACAACTCGATAGGAAACAAGTGATGGGACCACACTGAAAATATTAGCACCACCATTTTCTCAGATAAAAGGGAAGCACTGACTGCTAGAAACAGTATTTGGATAAAAGCAATTTGTGGTCACCTCAATGGTTGATCTCCAGGCCTGGAAAACCTGTTTCCTTAGATCTGTCGAGACCTAGGAATACTTAGCATAAAATCATTTAGGTTGGAAAAGAGTTCTTAGATCATCAAGTCCAACAATTAGCCCAGCACTGCCAACCCCTCCACTAAACCATGTCCTTAAGCATGACTTCTACATGTTTGTTGAACATTTCGAGGGACAGATACAGAATCACTAAGGTTGGAAAACACCTCACAAATTACCGAGTCCAATATCTAACAATGCTGAGTAACTGTAGACTAACACATAAAGAACCCTCAAAAGAGATACAATTGATGTAATCTAAATGCACATCTTGACTCTCTCAAATTTTCTTTTCTTTCAAAACATTTATTTTGGGAAAAAAACAGACAAAAAAAAGCCTTTAAAGAAGCTGAAAAATTGGTGCAGCATGTATAGACCCAGAGCAGGCAGAATGAACTTTTCAGCCCAACAGGTTCATTTGGATGTAGTGTTGAAAGAGAGTCTTCTTCCCAAGGGTGACATCGCTGCCTGGTGAATCAAAAGGTGCAAAACCAAAGATGTCAAATCACAGACAACAGAACAATCGCATTCAGAAATGTGCCAGTCTTCATGAGCTCTGCAATCCTGATCACACCAACCCTGACAGAGAAATGGTGTATGCACACCTCTGCAAAGAGCACATCTGGAGAAACATCTGCTGAGAAGAACTTTTGGGAAGGTGGCTGTGTGGCCAGAGGCAGAGAAAACAACTGGGGAGAAGGAGCAATGTGCAAAGGGCAGAGCCACTCCTGCCACCTCAGGAGGGGAGCAGGAGACCTTGGCTCACCCACGATGGGTCTGCGCTGCTACTGCCAGTCCCGGTGGGAGATGGAGCTCTGCTGGTGCGGAGCAGCTTCGGCTGTCAGGACACCGGGCTGCACGCTGACAGTGGGAAATCAGCTGGATAACTGTTCCGGCATCACAAACACCGCGGGACGGGGTTTTGCAATTCAAAATCTGCTGCTCCCGAGACAGACTCCAGCTTTTCCCTTCTGCTCTTCTTGTCCAACAAGATCCCTTCTAGTTTGGCCTGAGAAACCTGCAATATTGCCATCCCCAAGGCGATCAAAAAAAAGTCCCAAGCCAGACTTACTGCAACACCCCCCGCGATGAAGCTACTTGAAAACTGTAAGTTAAAACACACAGCGTATCTGAAGATTATTTTTAATTTATATTTAAAACTTTGGCACCTACATTTTCATGCTTTTCCCTGCAAACACAAAAGGAAAAAGAAGGAAAACCAAGAAACGCATCACATCATCCTAAAACCTGGGTTACAAAGGCTGAATGCTCAGGAACACTCGGGAGCTACAAAGTTGTCACCCTTCTTCTCAGGGTCTGTCCTGTGCTCATGCTTCATTCTGCTCCTGTCCCTGGAATTTCCAGAGCCACTTCCAGGCCCCTCAGGTATCTTCATACTTCATAGACAGACAGCAAGCTCAGTGAGGATAACCAGCAGGAGCTGCAGGACCCACTGCAGGACAAGGTGCTTCTCACTGTATGCATGGGGCACTTGCTGTGTGACTGAAACCTGAAATTTTGTGTTGACTGAAGCTAGGTGAGATTTTCAAGGTTCCTATCATTTTGGAAAGCACGTCCCAATATCATGAAGGCAATAACTTCTGAATGTTGATCTTATTATTTGTCTGTCCACTGTAGCTCCCTCAGCTTGCAAGGATTGCACAAGGTTGGCACATTTAGCTCTACCCCTAGACTTTTCAACTTTTTAAGTGCAGTAGAATACCCATTTGGCTTTTTTCAGTTCTGTGGTTTACACTTTGAATTAAAGAAACCTCTATGCACAAAAAAACTCCAAATAACCCAAATTACTTTTTTTTGAACCACCACACAGTCCTGCAAGGAACTGACTCATACTTCTCCCACTAAGGAGCTGATAAGGCTTTTAACTCTCTAACCATAATTGCTATACAATGACAGGCATGTGAGAAACATACACAGAATAGATTGGAGATGCTCAAAGGAAGGAAAATTAGGAGGGAACACCAAGAGGCATATGGAGCACGCCACAGATGAGACCAGTATGACCAGAGCTGATGGGGAGGTAAACCAAATCCTTGGAGCTGCCACAGAGTGACTTTGTGCCACTCGAAAATCTGAGCCCTCCCTCGTGTCCAGCTGCAGCAGCTACAGAGCAGCACATGGATGAAATGAGCAGAAACCTCCAGGTTTCTGCCTTCCCAAAGGGGCTGGGAGTCCAGGGGACAGGACCCCACTGCCCCTCGAGCTGAGCTCATCCCTGCTTGGCCAGGTGGCCTGGCAGCCTCCTCACACAGAGCCACGCACAGCAGGAAACAGCCAGAAAAGTCCTTCTGCCGAATTTTAGTGACAGCACGGTACCCCCAGGTGGAAGCTCACCTTCCTGCAGCCAGTGAGAGAGGCAGTGGGATCTCTGCTGCGAGGCAGCAGCCTCACCACTCGGGGCCAAGGAGGGCACAGCTGCCTCCCCCAGAAATGGGCAGGGGACATACCCCAAGCACCGCCCTGAGAAGGAGCAGTGCTGCTCCCCTGCCCAAGCCTCTGCCCACAGCCAGGACAGCAGCAGCTGTGCTACATGGACAGGAAGGACACACAGAGGCTTTTCACCACTTTGGGAAAAATCTTGGGTTTTCCTCACTCCGTAACGACTTCACCAATCATTTCATTTACTAGTGCGAGAACACACCTGTAGGTGTTGTTCTGCCTCCATGGGACAGCTTCCCTGCTCATTCCCAAGTCCTGAGTCAGGATCTCCATCCCAAGTGCTGGGCATGTAGCAGATGACCTGAAAGTGGGATGGCAGGAGCTACCTCTCCAGAAACACACTGCACCTTCACCACGAAGAGGCAGAAGTGGCCAGGGCTGGCTACAGGGCCAAACTGTGTGGCCACCATGCCTCATGCCCACAGAAGCACAGCACCTGCCTGCCACACTGCCAGGCACAGCCAAAGAGAAGCAATGCTGGAGGTGTGCAAATGTCCCCAGGGATCTGCTTCACAATCTGCCCTGGTAGCTGCTGCAGACAAACCATGAGCCCACCTGTCTGCCAGGCTGGTCAATCCTGGATCCCTGTGATGGATCACATCCCTGTCCCAGAGAGGATGGCACCTTGGCACAGGACAAGGAGGCTGCAGGACTCCATGGTGGCTGTGTGACACTCACACTTTCCACCAGGACGCTGATTCAAGGTGCTGTGACTGGTGCAGCATTATCAGGTCTCACGGCTGTGCCCATTCCTGGTGCCTCTGTTGCCTTTTTTATACCTGCTCCCATCCATCCACATGCATGATCTGCCTCAGAAATCTTTTTGTGAGTTTTCCCAGGCCTTTTCCCAGGCCATTCCCATCAATTGCTGTTGCCTTCTCCTTTGGGCATGTGCCCCAATATGTTGCTCTAAGGCACAGCTCAGCCCCAAGCACTACTGCTGGAGGCTCCAACATCCCTTCCTTCCATCAGCTCCCTCTGCCTTCGGGGTGTTAGCACCAGCCCAAAACACGAGAATATGCTAAACAGCCTTACAGGAAGGTGTAGCCTGCGATTTTTTTCTGTCTAACTGTACCACCTTTAGAGAGCCATCATGAATAAGAGGCAAAAAAAGCCTGATGATTTAGAAGTTTGATTTACAAGGGAGATCTACCTTGTGGTTGAGGTGTGTATGACTTAATTAAAAGCAGAAGCTCACCCCCACTGAAGATGTTTGCTGCCGAGCTATCAAATGCAGAGGAGGAAGAGACCTCAGAAGGAGAATTTCCATAAAGATATATTTCACATTAAGCATATGCCTTCAAGAGCTCTCCCTTTCCAAAGCTGGCAGGAAGCTGCAGCTGCTCCTTCATGCAATCAGACACCATCCCCTCACAGCCCTCGCAGCACCAGCACACCTGTGTTTTCACAAACAGGGCTAGGATGGCCAGGCTGCAAAGCCACACAGCCCCAAGCATGGGGACAGCTTCTAGCCCTAACAAGGTCAGCAGGTTTTTTCTCTATTTCACTTTTTTTCTTTGAGATCTGGCAGGATTTTGGAAATCAAGTGACACATTTAGTCCTTAAAGAGGAAGGAAAACAGAGCACTACAGCTCTTTCACCTTACCCCTGATGACCAAGCAGCAGGGCATATTTTCCCCTAGGAGACAGATTTGACTTAAGGCTCTGAAAGCCAGAGATGTCCATGGCTCCTCTGGCTCCCCTCCCGGGTACCACAGGCTGCCAAGCTGCAACCAGTGCTGCCCTGCTCAGGCTTCTAGTTTCCTTGCTGGGCAAAACAAGCCCCCCACCAAGGAGCAGGGCCACATCAAGGTTTCCACAAGGTCTGCCAGCCTGGCTCCCTGCAGACAGCAGTGAGGCTTGCTCAGGGGTGCAGAGTGGCAGCTACAAAACTGGAGGCACAACCAAACCCGTGTGTAAAGCGTTGCTTGAAAGTGTGGCAGGACAGAGCTGACAGCACAGAAAGAGCGGAGCGTGCAGTGCCCCAGCAGCAGGTGGGTGAGGGGATGTGGCAGCTGCGCCAAGGCTGCATTAGAAATGCCAGCTGCAACTCAACACTGGCAGCTCCTGCTTACCCAGGATCTGGTTCCCTTGGCCTCTTCCCTGCCCCTCTGAGGAAGCAGAACACCTGTGGGGCAGTGGAAAATCCAGCTCTGGGTCCATGAGCCATCCTTCCCTGAGAGGTGACCAAGTCCCTGGGAGCTGTGTCATGCTCTGGCAGCCAAGGAGAAACAAAGAAGCTGGGTCCTGGAGTGTTTCCTGGGGAGGGGGTGGGGGGGGGTCTCACCCTTAGCAGCACTGTGAATCCAGGGCACACGGGAACCTCTCTCTCCCTCTCCACCTAGCAGGTTGCTGAACTGTGGAGTTGCTTGCAACTTTTCTTCCCAGTTTTGAACTCCGAAAGGCACACAGCTTGCCCAGGTAATAGCAGTTTGGTTAGCATAAATTGACTTAGCGCTGCAGCTTCACATCTTTGCATCCTGCAAGGCAGCTCTTTCCCATCCCCAGGTGCTAGCAGGCTCCTGCTTCTACAGGCGCCTCCCGGGGGCTGCTTGGAACCTTTGGGACAGTATTTTCTGGAGAGCTACAAACAGCCGCCCAAGCCCGCCCCGTTTCGAGCTCAGGGGTGCACTCCGGGCACAGGCAAGCCAGCGAAGGGCGAACGAGGAGCTCTGCATCCCCAAAATCGCGCCCAGAGCGCGGCTCCGTGCCGCAGGGCGGGAGCGCTCGGGGCTCCCAGCCCGTCCCGCGGCCTCACCGCGCCGGCTGCGGGCAAAGGGGCACGGCCAGCAAAACCACCAAAGTCAACAGCGCCGGGGCAGGAAGGCAACCCGGGCACCCTCGTCGCATCCATCCCGCTCGCAGCCCCAGCCGCGGCTGCCAGCCCCTCTCTCCCCACAGCGCGCCCGGCGGAGTCCCGACCCACCTGGGGACGGCGCCCGTACCCAGGGTGCCAGCCTGCGGATACCTGCGGATACCTGCGGATACCTGCGGATACCTGCGGGAGCCTGCGGGAGCGGCGCGCCCGGCCGGGAGCAGCCCCGCAGCCGCCGCGGGACGCGGAGCTCGGCGCCGGCGGCCGCCCCTCAGCGCCCGGCTCCGCCCGGCCCGGCCCGGCCCGGCCCGGGGAGGCGGGCGGCGGGAGGGGCCCGTGCGGCCGCGCTCCTCCCGCCGGGGCGGCGGCGCTCCCGGCTGACCCGGGACAGAACTTCCCGCAGCGGGGAAAAAGCCCGGAGGCCGGGGCTGTCTCGGCAGGGCTGGATCCCGTTTCACGCCGGCGGCTCCTCCAGGCGAGAGCAGCACCGAAGCCTCCCCGGTACACGCCGGCGCCGGGAGAGCGGGCTCCCGGCACAGCCCCCGGTTGACCCGGCCGCGCCCCGCAGCCCTCCAGCCCCCGTCCCGCTGCTGCCGGCGGGATGCGCCCGGCTGGGAGCGGGCCGCCCCGCCGGCTGCTCCTGGCAGCTGAGGCAGCACAAAGCCCCACGTCTGTGGCTAAACCGGCCCGAGAAGGTGAGTAAACGCGAGGGCGGCCAACCTCGTGCTCCGTGACCTGCTTGTGCCGCCCCATGGCTAGTGGTAGCCAGCGTGACTACTGCAGTAGGTATGTTTGTGTGAGCAGCGCCCGGTGTCTTGCGGACAGACCCACCGTCACTGACGGCATCCCCGTGCTGCCCGTGTCCCTGTCTTGCCTCCCACGGTCGTGCAGCTCGCTCGCATCAACTTTGTGCTTTCTCCCCTCAAGACACCCACTCCATTTTAGTGGAGCTCTTCCACAGTTCTGAAAGCCAAAAGCTGTGCTCCAGCACCGCGGTTTCTTTCCCAGCCTGCAGCCAAGTGCCAGGTGCTGCTGGAAAGGGCTGTTTGCAGACAGGTGTCGGCCATGCAGGTTTTCTCTCTTTACACCGTTCTGTTTACATCATTTACCCGACTCTGCTAGGCTCTGCCATGAGCTGTGCTAATTTTTCACTCCTGCTCATTCCCAGACCTGCAGAACCATGGGCCAGGGGCAGTTGTGGTCTGAATGGGAGCAGAGAGGTTTGCACAGTACTGCTGGTCACGCTGTGCCCCACAGCACCATCAGAAACAAACAATGACTTCTCACTTCCCAAGCTTGGTAAAAGCATCCAGTTTGTAGCCTCTGCTTCTGGCAGCAGCTCCCACTGCCCTTTATTAGATTTGACTGATGTCCTAGAGGAAAAATCTGCTATAGGACCTTTCCACTCCCTTTTCCCATCCTCCTCTGAGGTGAAACAGAGGTATGAATGTTGCCCAGGGAGTCCAACACCACACTCCAGAAAGTATTTTCCAGCCTGGGCAGTGATGGGCGATGAAGGCTCTGTGGGGCCAAGAGTCACATCCAGAGCATGTGAAGGAGGCCCTTGTTACTGCCACGTAATGAAAAAGCCCCTTGGGAAGCCTTGGGAGATGAAGGTCCAGCAATTTAAAATATGGAGGCCCATGGATTAATTCCAAATTTTGGCACTGAAAGTAGCCCTCCAATTTACAGAGGTGCAGATTATCTGCAGTTCACAATGGCTATAACGAAGGTCACCATGTTTCAGAATCTCTGGAAATCTATCCCTTTTAAAACATGCAGGCTCTTAGACCAAACTTAACACTCTGGCCTCTGCCTCCATGAAACCAGGACCATAAGTAGAAACATCTCTCAGCAGGACGTGAAGGGAGAGGAGTGAGACCCTGACTGTTCACACTGGAGCAGGAGTAAAGTGACTTATTTCTGGTTTCTCCCAAAGCTAGCAGAGAGCACTCCTGTTGCCCCACTGACTCATGCTTATTACTAAGCACTTTGTAAACTGTGATAATGAAAAATGGCCACTTTGCGCCTGCTTCAGTTTTGCTATTAAAAAAAAAAAAAAGCAAAACAAAGCTCTGGAGGTATGGACAACTGTTACAGACACGTGGATGTGCATCACCTCTTATTCCTCACCCACCAGAAGTGGGACCACAACCTCATCCCAATTAGCTTTGCAGTCCTACAAGAGCTAGGACATCCTTCTGGGTGTCACTTGGCATTGTCAGAGCACATGCAGTTGCAGCCAGGATGTTGGGGAGTCTGGGAAAAATGCCTGGGTGTTTTGTCTGGAGGCAGGAAAGTGCCTGCTGCAGTACAGGTATGCACTAAAGAAGAATTTGTGCTGTTGAGCAGGAAGGAATGGAGGTCTGGAAAGGGCACAAGTGAGGGCAGAAAGCCCATAGTTAAGGTGAGTTGTGTTACAAACTCTGCAGGGAGGAGGGTCCTGCTGTGCTTAAAGCACAGTCAGTAGCCCCATGTTGGAAGCACATCACCTTGTGCCAGAGAATAGCTGGAGCCCAGCAGCTGCATGGCTCAGCCCGAGGCTGGGTCCTAGGAAGGCAAAGCAAAAGCTGAACTCGTTTGAAACTGCCAGGGGAGGCAGGATGAAATTTTCTCCATCTGTCTTCCATGTCTTTTCTCAGCCCTTACTCTTTTTAAACAACCCGTTGAAGAGTTGAATTCAGAGCTCCCTGGAGGGGTTCAGTATCCATCACAACACTGCCTGATAAGAAGGATAAACCACCTGATCATGCCTCTTCGCTGCTGCTCTGGCTCTTCATCTTTAGCACCTTGTTCATCCTGCATAGAGCCACTTACATGTTACACCTGCTGGATCCCTTGTGGGAGCTGTGATCACCTGGGACACAGCACCTCATTTTGGAGGTCTGGCCCACATCATTTGCTCCAAGATGTACACAAGGGTTGGATACTTGTTTCAAGTTTACGGTTGGAAAAAGGCGGCTTGGAGCTGATTTTTGTGGACTAAGACCCCCCCTGCTTGACAGTCATTAGCTATAAATAATGCAATAACACTTCTCTTCTGGGGTCTGGCTCAGGGTTTTAGCCCATTTAACACTTATTCTTTGTCCATCCTCAAAAGTTCACACCCAACCAGGGTGTCACACAGAAATGTCAAAAATACTACTTTAACTGCAGTTTTTGGTCATCTGCTAAACTCTTATTAAGCAACTCACATTGCAGTCAAATTTCACTAAATTTGCCTCAGTTTTCTTTAGGATGACTTGCATTCAGTTTTTACTTCATCTTGGGGAAAATTAGTGTCTTGGAAAAGCCAAATTGATATATGACTACCTATGATTGTCCTGACTTTGCTCAAGTCCATTGCAACTGCTCAGCTCCACTGTCTCTGCCCACCACAATGGATCTAAAATGGAGACAGGGTGTGCTGGATGGACACATCCTCTGCTGGGAAATTATCATCCAGCACACTTAGAAACTCTCATGGGACTTGACTGTGGCCTGCAGGCAATCTCCACAGATGTGTCCCAGAATTAAATTATCTATGCAAATACAGTTTTCTTTTCACACGTTGCAAATGAGCCTGTAGAGAGAGACCCGTGCTGGGCCTCGTTTGATGAGGCAGTCAGGTACACACAGGCTTGCACACGGTGCTCCTGCTTGGGCTTTCCTGATCTACACAGTCAGCTCCAAGTTCCCGCTGTCGAACGGGTAATGTTGCCATTAGCATGAAGCAGCAGCCTTCTCTCTCTCAGGCACTCTCTCCTTTCTCAGCAGGTGGCAGCCAGCAGTTGTAACATCCCCCTTTAAAAAAGCATCTAGCCACACTTAGGCAATACCAGTTTTGTCCGATTCCTTCCTAAAAGGGAAACTTCAGGTTTTCCTCTTACAAAGTTTCCTATTTGGGAGTTTAAACAACTGAACATTTTCTTTTCACATACTCACCTAGTCCATGATCCCTTGGGTGTAAATGGTTTAAGTTTTTGAAGGTTCATTAAAGCCATCCTGCCTTTCCCAGCCCATTTCTAGGCCATGAGGTTGGGCACTGGACTTTGGACAGACAGCCATCCAGAGAACCCATCTGCAAAAACCAGGGTTTGTGCCCCACACAGTGCAGCCTCTCAGCAAACACCAGCCACTTCTTCAGCCTTCAGGAGTTTCTATTCTCTTCTCCAGTTCTCAGGAGCAGGACCTTGGACTTTTTTTCTACTTTCCTGAGATTTCTGAAGACTTGACCAGTCTTTTGCTGTTCCCATACCATCCTGTTGGCTTTTTGACACTTTCCAAACAACCCAACTCCTCTTCATTCCCCTTGACACAAGTTCCCCATTGTAACCATTTACCTTGATAAGGCAACTGGGAACATGTGTGGACTATTCTTACACAAAGAACTGCCCTCAGGGAGGTTCCCACTGCTCACTCTGTTCCTCCCAGTACATCCTGGAAGACTGTCCACTCAGATGGTGTAATCTCTGCAGGAGTAGTTGGGTGCAACTGAGGACATGAATATGAACCAGGTCACATTCCCTTTAAAGCCCATTTTCCATGGCTCTGTGAACTGCTGTAAGATAACTTTGTAACTCACTCATGCCACATAAAATTTTGAGCCCAGTTAGTGCCTCTCCATCCAAGGCAAGTTAAAAAACCTTTGTTTGTCGTACAAGGCTCTGCATCTTCCCGGATTTGAATCAGTCTCTCAGAAAGATGATCTTTCTATGGTTGATGTGGACCCCAGTGTTGCTAGACAGACAAGCCAAGATATTAGGAGTGAGCCAGGTGGAAAAAGAAATAGGAAAGAGTGGGAAAAACCAGATGGATCAAGAATATGGTGGAAGAATAACACCATGTGAAGAAAAGTGACATGTGACCCATATCCCCTTGTAGTAGAAGCTACAGCACTTTGAACTTGTCTAGGGCAGGAAGATCAGCTCCAGCGTGGTTTCCACCATGCTTAGAACTGCAGCTCACTCCCACCCATGAAAACTGGTTTGTTAGCAACACCCTGCTCATCCTGCCTGTCTCTTATGCAAAGTAAGGCTAATCCCAGAATCATCTGACAGGGGGCCAGGTCAGAAAGTCACAGAGGGCTTGGGCCTGAGACATGACCTCCTTCAAAGCTGCTGTTTGGCAGCCCCCTGTAGAAGTGAAGCTGGTGCTCACTACTGGAAGAAAGGCTGGTCTGCATCAACTCTCCCTAATCCTTTCTGCTCCATCCATGATGCCAATCTGTGGGGTGTTAGAAGCTCTCTGTGTGAAGACTCTTTGCATCC